CCCCCCCAGCTCCTGCTCGCAACCAGAGACTCCCAGCTGGGAGATGGGCCACAATCAGCCCTGGGAGCCTCTGGTCCCATGCAAAAGCCGGGCGAGGGGGGGGCATGGCTGGGAGTCCCAGCCCCCGCCCCGCCCGGCTTTTGCACACGACCACAGGGCTCCCAGCGCTAATCGCGGCCCCGCCTCCCAGTTGCTCCCCCGCCCCCAGCCAGGAATTCAGAAAATACCGGACATTGCACATGTCCGATATTTTTTGAATTTTTCTACCGGACAGACGGTAAAAATCCCAGACTGTCCGGTAGAAAACCGGGGACCTGGCAACCCTATTCATTGTATCCACACTAAATGTTCTGTGTCAGTTTAAGAACCATACCAGCCTTGTTCTAAACCCTTTCAGATGCAATGCTTTCTGGGTACCTCTCTCTCAGTTCTTGGCACAGCTCCTAAAAGCAATGGATTCTGGGAGATTTCAAAAGGCCACTGTGGGCTAAGTAGGGCGAGGACCAGTGGAAGTGGAACTATTTCAGCTTGTCCACATTCATGCTAGAACTAAACCAGTTCACAATGAAATGGGCTATTAGTTTACTCCACTTCAGATGATAAAAAGTTGTGTAGTGTCGACAAGCTTTGTATGACTGATAACAGGGAATTCTCAGTTCAGGGCCTGCAATGTTAGACTTTGTTGGTCTGACCGAGTCCATGTTTGTTAACCTCTCAGACATTTTACAAAGACCTGTTATCATAGTCCTTTTCTGAAGAGATGGATCAGGTGGGCTTTCTATTTGAGATCTTTCATAATCCCCACTTTTTCTTCAGGACAGTCTGGATTATTTTTGCATGTTTCTTAAGATTTTATGGGCTTGCCTCTCACCCCACTTGCACTGGCGTAAACAACCAAGAGTAAACTTGATCAAAGAAAACTGAGTCACACTAATGTCAGACAGCGGCAAGGGACAGGAGTCCTGAGCTCTGTAGTTTAATGTGTTTAGAGCAACCATGAGAAGCTCTGTCTATTCTGATGATGACCGATTCTAGCAGACCTGTGATCACAGCCCCAAAGGTCAGACCAAATGCTAAATAATGCAAATGAAAAACTAAAAATCAAAACAAAGCAAGACACCACAAAACAAACACTAAACAAAACCAACCAACTAGATGCTACACAAAATCAACAGATCAGATTTACTTAATACCATTGAATTGTGGCTCATCGAGGCCTTCCAAGAGGTCTATTAGCTGAGAAAATATCAGTTGCAAACTGATTTCCACCATACAAACCAAGAGAAGATGCTGTCTACTGACCAGACCTGCCACTACAAGATATACCTTTATGGGACACGTCATATTGAAATTCAGTTGAAAGCTACATATTCCCTGCATGGTTTATGGACCATCCGATGGAATTTATAGGACAATTATACAGAATGGGTCAATATAACTTTGGAAGGTTAGGACGCAC